ATATTTTCTAACCGTAAATATAAAATATATTGTAAAAGAAAAATAAGGATGAAAAAGAAAAATAAAGAGAAGCAAATGGAGAAGGGATAAATATCAGATAAGTAACTAATATTCTTATAAAGTGGAAAATAATTTATCTATATACACACTATGACTATAGATATGTTGGACCGATACTTTTTTTCGGAAATACTTTATTTTATAAAATATTTTATTATTATAGAAAATACGTTAGAAAATACTTTATTATTATTTTATATGCACGTCAATGACATATGCATATACGCACATATCAAAAAGACTTCCGCAACTAACAGATTACTGCCTACACAGTATCACCAATCCACAGAAATTAAATTGTATTGTCTAAGGATTTTTGTTACTATCAACATTATCCTTTCTTTTTTTATGGAAATTATTGTGTAATCATTCAAGATAGTACTTTCGTAGTGCACTGCTCTCTATATCGGAACGCTATTCGTAGTACTGGGCATCGATCACATAAGTTTTCCCCTAGAACGAAAGTGAGAAGTGAGGAGTCTCATGTAGATTTCATCATTTTGTGATCACGTAATTTTAATTCCGGTAAAAGCGTGACATATTTAGCATGAAACTTTTCATCAGCTGACATAGTTAAACAGTGAAAATCTAGTGTTTCTTAACTTACATAGCATATTAATTGGTAAAATGGCCGCAGTTTTTTTTGAATTTTAAATCTAGCAATAAAAATTAAATTAAAATCAGAAAATTTTAATTTTAATTTTTAATGACTAAGAATGTATTCCGTTATAAATAAATATTCAAATTTTTTACGGAGATAAATTGCTAGTATATATAACACATTATTGTCAAGATGTAAACTAAGAAGATGTAATACTTAAAAAATAGAGTGAATCAGAAAGGAACAAAATATTGTAATTACATTTTTTATTATTTATTAAACTTGCCATAAATAAACGTCATTTAATCAACTATAACATTTTCAGAAAACTTATCTAATATCACATTTAAAATAGTTACCATTTCCGTCATTTATATTTTCTTTATCAGCTTTATTATTTGAATTGTGATTTGTAGTTTCTATGATTAAAGAACGTTTTTTTCTTGCAAAATTTGATGTGTAGATTCGGAGTTCTTTTCGGGCCGTTGAGTGGTTCGGACGTCCTTTGTTCTCACATAAATTTTTATATGCGTCATCACGCTTTTTCTTTGATTTTTACTCACGCATTTGTCGTCTTTCTCTCAATTATATTTTTCGAATTGAATCGTGGCCTGTATTGGTGCCGTATGGCAACCTGGGCCAAATATAAAGTATAAGAAATAAAAAGAAAATGTGTAGACTCTTTTGTTAGATACAGATTTATTTAACGACTCATTATTTACTCTTCGATGAATTACAGCTCATCACTTGGACATCTTCAAGCGGGCTTAGCTCTCAAAGCTAACTTACCTTTTATGCTTCTTGAAATACAGAAACTGAAATAGAGAAAGTTTTTAAATGAAAGTTTATATATTTCAAATAAATTAATAAATTGTTACAACTTACAATTATTAATAATTGTCTTACTTATTGCCGTTGATATATTTACTTTCTTTGCACGGATAGCAATATCTATTCCTAAGTTCGTACCTCTTTATTTTGCTAAATATTAACAGCCATGAAGTTGCCTTCAGTATAATTTTTGGAATATTTTGATGTGAATAAGTCTTCATTCTCAAGTTTTCACTTCTAGTTATGTTATTAATAATTTCTTTCGCTACATGATCGCAGTGAAAATGACAAACGGTGAAACCGTGAGATGGCCACCGAAAATCTAAAAGTGAACTATGTCACTGAAAACGTAATCATACATGAAATACGTAATCGATGCCCTGTACTGTAGTACTCAGAGTGAATAAAAGAATTAAAAAGAACGCACCCATACTCGGACGTGTCATAATTAAAAAAATAATTCCACGTAGATAAAATTATGTTTGATGCGATCAGAAACGATTTTCGATCAATATCATATGCGGATTTTATGAAGTTTTTTCTTGCGCATATAAGTATATTCACGAATAAAACATCATATTTCTTTGTTTAATTTAATTTAAATTTTCTGCTAATATAAGCAAAAGCGCGATGATTTTTTAATATTGTCATAAAAGTATAATTGTTATCTTTGCTGTAACATTGTAAAAATTCAAATAGTATCTAATATTCAACCTTAATATGTATATTATTTCTATAAAAGATTCGATATTAAAGATGACATAACTATTTTCTTAATACAATTGCATAATATATATTCCAAAATTCCCTTAAAAATTCAAAATAATTAAAAGTTTATTATGTTTTTAACAATAAAACATTATGAAAAATCTATTATAAGATTTATCTAAATCGCTTTTATTAAGTATTCAAGATTAATTAATTACCCAAATGACACTAGTATTAATTCTTTAAAAAAGAAAACTTTATTTTCATATTGTCAACTGAACTCATATAATTGTAATAATGTAATAAAAATATAAAATAAAAATATAAAATAATAATAAAAAAATTATCTTTTTAAAAAAAAGTAAAAAATAGTGTCAAATACAGGGGCGCGCTTGAAAAAAAAATTGTTGTATCAAGTTAAAAAATAGAATTTAACTAAGAATATGTTTTATTTTAAAATTTTCTAAAAAAAATTATATTAAATTGCTATACTTAACTTAATTCTAGTTGTGATTAAATTTAAAAAATAAAATCTAAGTGCTAGTATCTTTGTGATCTATGTATGTATTTTCATTGAAGAGTCTTCCTATTCTAATCCAAGTGGTACTAGCTCTAGTTAAAAAAAAATTGTTTTCATACTGCCAAACTCAAATGATATCATTTGTATAGAAGATTTGATATCAATAAATGGCGCCAAGTTATAATCCCACTATAAAAATTGCGTTATTCTACTATTAGGTATACAAAAAAGTTCTGAGTTTTTTTTGTAAAATTCAATCTTTATTCAAAAACAAACAAAAAAATATTAATCAGCGAAATATTCCCCGTTTGCATCAACGACCTTTTGCCATCTTTCGGGTAGCCTGCGAATTCCTTGACGATAGAAACTCACCGGCTTCAAAGCGATAAAGTCATCAATGCATTTTCGTATCTCTTCAAATCTCACGAAATGTGTATCAGCCAAATGATGCTGCAACGACCGGAATAGGTAGTAATCGGAAGGCGCCATGTCTGGGCTATACGCCGCGTGCGGGAGAAGTTCCCAGCCTAACGCAAAGATATGGTCCTGAGTCTCTTTCGCAACATGTGGTCGAGCATTGTCATGAAGCAAGATCACTTTACGACGTCCTTGGCCAGTAAATGGCCTCTTTCTTTTCTTCTAATGCATCGATCAAATTGGTCAATTATTATTGGTAGCGGTCTGCCGTGATTGTTTCATCCGGTTGTAACATTTCGTAATACAACACACCTTTCCAATCCCACCAGATACAGAGCAAAACCTTCTTGGCGTGGATATTGGGCTTTGGCGTCGATGTCGAAGGTTGACCAGGGTCAACCCATGATTTTCTACGTTTAGGGTTATCATAAAGAATCCACTTTTCATCGCCTATAATGATTTTGTGCAGAAAATCTTTTTTCCGGAACTTTGAAAGCAAAGTGAGTGCAGTGTCACACTGACGATTTTCTTCGGACAATTCATACGGAATCCATCTGCCTTCCTTCTGAACCTTTCCCATCGTATGTAAACGTACGGAAATGTTTTGCTGCGTAACGCCAAGCTGTTCTGCAAACTCCTTTTCAGTTTGCGCAGAGTTTATATCCAGCAGTGCTTGCAATTCGTCCGTTTCAATCTTTTGAGGGCGTCCAGCACGCAGTTCATCTTCAAGACTGAAATCTCCTTGGCGAAATTTTTGATAGCATCTTTTACATGTAGTATGATTTACAGCGTTCTCTCCATAAGCAGCACAAATCATTGTAGTGGCTTCAGCAGCATTTTTCTTCAGATGAAACGCGAAGTGGATGGAAAATCGAATATGCTCTTTTGTTATTGCCATCGTGAACACTACTGATTTTTGAGGTTATGTGCATCAAACCGTATGGCATTTTAGAAGGCCAAATTTAGAAGGTCAACGCTTTAAAATCGCAAAAGAGCGGGAAGATATATAAAATTTAAATTGTTATTTCGGTTGTATGAAATCTAGAGCTCAGAACTTTTTGTACACCTAATATAAGAGGAGAGACTATGAGTTCAAGAGAAATTAATAATATAGATTTTGAAATATTAGAGAATGTAGGTGAATGTATTTTAGCGAATAAATTTAATATATTTTATATACAGAGTATTAAGGAAATAATAGACTTTATAAGAAAAAATGACAGTAAAAGTACAAAAACTATCTTTGTTATAGAAAGCAGAGGCATAATTGAAAATTTCGAATGCATAAATGTACAGAAATTAGAAAAAATTGTTATGGCGTTGCCACAGAAGAAGGGAATAGATGAGGGGATATCTAGCGATATATTAAAAATAAATTTTCAAATGATAAAAGATGAACTATTAAGAGTAATAAATAAGTCATTAACAAATGGTATATGTCCGGAGGGATGGAAAATATCTACTGATAATACCGATTCCTAAGATAGAAAATCAAAGAAAGCCTGTGAATATAGACCAATTAATATATTACAATTTATGAGAAGGTTTTAGAATTAGTTGTAAAGGAACAAATTGAAAAGTACTTGCATAGTAATGATGTTATAACAGAACATCAGTCGAGATTTAGAAAATATCATTCGTGTGAAACAGCAATACAAAGTGTCATTGATGATTGGAAGTTGATAATTAGTGAGCGAAAAATGAGGAGTAATATTCTTGGATTTAAAACGGGCATTTGAAACGATAGATAGAAAAAGATTATTGGGAAAATTAGATCAATATGGAATGAGAGGGATGGTATTGGAGTGATTTAAATCATATCTAAGCAATAGAACACAACAAGTTAGATTTAATAATCAATGATCAAAGTGTATCAAAACGGAATATGGAGTTCCGCAAGGATCGGTACTAGGGCCTTTACTGTTTATAATTTATATAAACGATTTAGTAGAATTTTGTTCAGAAGAATGCAATATAAAAATGTTTGCAGATGATACTTTAGTATATGTAAGTGGAAAAAGTAGTGCGGAATTAGAGACGAAAATGAACATAGTACTTAGCATAGTAGAAGAGTGAATGAGTGTAAATAAATTGAAAATGAATGCAAATAAAATAAAATACATGATAATCAGAAGTGTAAGAAAGGAGCAAAAAGGTAATATTATATTGAGATGTTCGGACGGAATTAAGTTGGAACGCGTCGAAAAAATAAAATATCTTGGCGTAATTATCGATGATAAGCTCCAATTTAAAGATCACTGTGATTATATGCTAAAGAAAATAGGAAACAAGACTAGTTTTGTAAATAGAATAGGTAATTTCGTATCAGCGTACACTAAATGTATTGTACATAAGTCGATCATAGCACCTCACTTTGAATACTGTGCTACGCTATTAATTGGAATGGGAGAAACGCAATTGAGCAAACTTCAAGTAGCTCAAAACCGTGCCATGAGAGTTATTTTGCAATGTAATAGATATACCAAAGTTGAGGACATGCTGCAGGCACTGCAGTTTATGTCCGTAAGGCAGCGATTATATTATAATGTGGGGGTATTTATTTTTAAAATTTTAAATGGCACCGATGGCGTTAAGTAATAGATTAGAAATAGTGGGAAGTGAATGTGATAGACAAACGAGACAGGCCGGAAACATTGTATTAATATTTCGTAAAACTAGAA